TACTACTACTACTACTACTGCAACTACCACTACTACTATTACTATTATTACTGTTACTACTACTATTATTACTATTATTACTGTGATGACTATTACCCATATTGTTGTTTAGGTTGGCCCTCCGTAAGTTGAGGATTCAAGGTGTCCTTCTCAAGAATGTTACATTTGTTCAGCATGCTCGTTGAAGAGCACAGCATCGTCCCAGCAGCTGTGCGAGATGAGCGCAGACTGACGATGGCAATCGGGCTCCAACAGTCCTGTCTCGTTCAGCATTTTGGGCAACGTCGCAGTTCAGAGTTTACTTGTTTTGGTCGGGGGGGGCGAGGGCTGTGCGATCAAGACTTTGCTTGTGCTTGGCAATGAGCAGGGGCACTCCAAGTCTGAACTTGGAAGTCTCCTTCCACCATGCAAGCAATGAGGGTCCTGCGCCAATGCCGCTTCGTGCGAAGTGTGGCATGCTGTGTTTGCATAGGGCAGGCTGGTAAGATTGCAATCGTACATCTATGCTTCTGCTATCCTGAGAGTGTTGTAGACTCTGTAGACCCAATTCGCTTTGCAACGTGGACATTTCAAACGGACTGTTGCTAAGGGGTTTGACGTAATGTGAATTGCTACAATAAGGAAGCCGCATTATTGAAAACGTATCCAAACTGTAGTAACTCGGTTTAATTAACTTCCTGGGCAGCAACCACTGTCCTTCTCAAAGCGATTGTACTAGTAAGAGAAAAATACATAATGGTAATTCAGCCAGCAGCAACAATACGAAGAGTAGAAGCAATGAAGGCTTGTGCAGTGGCAGCGCGGGTGCGATCAAGTTCTTTTGAGCCAAAGGCGGTGCAACAACCTGGCCGAAGCTCCGTTGGCAAGACCTATACACTGCCAGACTGTACAAGCTTGAGTCTTGAGAAACATTCGTCTAGGAATATCTTTCCTCTATAGTCCCGGATCATCCTGGCGGTCTTGGAGGAGAAGGTACACCCAAAGACCTATACTTCCCCTGAAGTAGATAGAATACTATTTGGGTATATCATAATACGATCCCCATATACCCCATATTCTATCTACTAAAGGGGGGGACTCTACTCTTGTAATCACCCAGGGCTTCTTAACTTACTCAGCCGAGGCGACGACCTTGACTTTCCGTGTGCTCCCAAAGTGACGCAAGGTCATGCTTCGTCAGGAAATCCTTAGCTTGGCGGGGTTTGGCCAACGCGGGGATAATGGAAAAGAAACAGGAATTATAGGGACTGTATAGGGTTTATATAGGGATTATATAAGTTGATATAGGGAGTCCCAATTGCCCTAGGAAGAAAAATGATGCTTCTTGCAGGTACATGAGAGACGCCTTAAGTAGGGGGACCCCAATGCAGACCCCCAAATACTATGATCCTTATTATAGACACTCCAAGGAAGTACCCCCAAATTTTGGGAAAACACCTGTTAAGAACACCATCACCCCAACACGTATCAAGGATCCCTAGCATGGACCTGGGGGGCAAACAAGCTGCAACGTAGCACAGCCTTGATCTAAACAGCCTGACTGTGGGGAGACTTTTTGGTTCGTCAACACAATTTTTTGCTTGCCACAAGCCTCCACTACGTTCCTGAAGCCGTAATTTTTTGGAAACGTTATGTCATGTCATCTGAACAGTGGTTTCCATTTTCTCTTCCATTATCCCTATATGACCTCTATATACCCCTATGTACCTGCATATACTCCTACAGCCCATCCTTGGGCAACATGTAGTTGATCAACTATTCTCCGACTCTTTTTATGATTCGGGGCGGAAATCTCCTTTTTCACCCCACTTGTGGCTACCCATGCTATATTATCTTAGATACCCGATATCTCCCTCTATCCCCTTTAAAGAGCACTTGAACCTTTATATCTCCCTCTCTCCCCCTTAAGAAGAATACTTGGGGGACCTTTTTGGGGGGCCCCCATAAAAGGACCACAGTATTCGGGAGTCTATATTGGGGTCCCCTATTTGGGCAGACTACCACTTGAACCTTTGAAGCTTGCCAGCCCAGAAGCAAGGTGCTGAAGGTCAGCAGGGTCCCTGAGTTGCGAATGAGTTGCCACAATGGGATAGAGAGGGATACATTGGTTTAGGGTTTGGGGTCTACTGTGTATGTATAGGCACATGTATGGAGATGTGGGGATGCAGGATGATAAGTTGAGATATGTACGGATGTATGTAAGGATTCATGGGGACATACAAGGATAATAATGAGACATACAGGGCTTAGGGATTAGGGTGTATAGAGTCTCTCGAACCAGGAAGCCCTTAGAGACCAGCGGGCTATTTGGGGGAACAGGGCAATCGATTGACCTCGGGCTTGTAGGGTGATCATGGGGGTCTCTATTGAGTTTGCACGGGGGGTAGTTTGAGGAAACTCCCACATGTAGTTTGCTGGGCGGCAGCTTCCATTGTTGTAGGAGTGGTAGCGAATGCCTCACACTACTGCTGTGGAATCATACGCTCACCATTGGTTCTGCACAAACACTGGCTTTCCAAATATGCCTCTGGGTGTTACCACAAGTAGGCGAGACCCCAAAGTAGAGCCCAACATGCTACAGTTACTACAGTCCTTAGTATAGGTACCCTACCCAGAAGTTACCCTATCTTTGCGAGAGCCTAACCCCAATTAAAAAGCTTTATCTACGCCCTATAGCATTCTGGTTTCTGCTTGGTCTTCCGTTTGATTCTCCATCGCTGGGGTACTCTCCCGACACCCAAAAATTGAACCCTATACCTGGAGTAGTTTCCATGTTCTCTTCCAGTATTCCTATTTAACCACTTTACAACCCTACACACTCCCGGAAACTAGCATGGAAACCCAAAAAGGGCCCAATAAAGACTACAGTCCTTCTAAAAGGGGGCTGTATGGGTTTCCATGTTTGCTTGGGGGAGTGTATCACCCTACATAAGCCAAGCGACTGTAAGAAACTCCAGGACGGTGGAACGTCGTCCCCAGCTCTCAGAGATTCTTTGGAGAAAACCTGCGCCTGCCCCAGACAGCTTCTCAAAAGAATACCCTACATATAGGATTCCATAGGAAAATTATCAGGATATGGTACAGTGTCCCACAACAGAGGGACCCCAATGTTTACTCCAATACTGTAATCCTTATTCTTAGGACCTCCCCAAAAAAGTTCCCCTAATTTTGGGAAACCCCGAACCCCTAAACCCTATATAACCCTGTATATCCCCTATATAACCCCTTCAAAGGTACCCACAATTTTGACAAAAGGAAATTACAGGGCGGCACCAGGTTCCTTTGTGGGTCCAGTGGAATGGTAGAGGAACTTCTTCAACCAATCCTTCTACAGTCTGAAGAGGAACCTTCCAGTCCCGTACTCAGGATCTGCTAGGGTATAGTCCCCTCAAGTGGATAGAATATGGGGTATACGGGGATCTTATTATAACATACCCAAAACCATATTCTATCTACATAAGGAGGACTTTTGCCCTCGTTTCTCAGGGTTTCGGGTTTAGGGCAGTGTGTAAGCATCACTGTCATCATCATCGCCATGAGTCTGGCTGGCATCCATCATCGTCAAGATTTTCGATCATTTCCAGCACTCTCAGTCACATGTGGGTTGCCAGTCATGATTTCGAACGCTGCTGCAGCAGCTGTGACCGTCGTCAACTTTGATTTGTTCACTGATCCCCGCCCCGAACACTAAAGCGCCCCAGCCTACTAACAACTATTCAACTCTTCCCCGTCATGCCACAGGGGAATACTTGCTTTGGAAGCCATGAAAGCTTTCACTATCAGGGGCAGAGGATTCGTTTGGGAGTTTATCAACAAGACCCCCTTGCAGAAGGGACCTTGCATAATCTGTGCAGAATCTCGCTACTCAGAGCACGCCACTTCGACAGACACCCAGACCATGAGTGTTGTTATGCAAAAAGTTTTGACATGGACACCGGATGATTTATGGTGCTCAACCCTCTTGCTAGAGGTTTGTGGCTGAAAAGAACAAGGTTCCCTCTTTGCGGGTCTACGGTAAGCTCAACAACCACACTTGAGGACCTAAAGTGTAACATGTGTGTCATAGCTCAAGCTCAGTAAGGGGCATCTACAGCTTAAAATCCAGAAAAAGAAGCTTATCCATTGCCTAAATCCTTGTGCCCAACCCCTTGGCTTCACAACATGTGACGGCTTGGGGGTATATTTTGCTGCATATGACCCAAGACGGATTTTTGAAGGAGTACTGTCGATACTTACTTACGCTTCTACGTTAGAGGCCATCGACTTGAGACTATTTTGATCCCGATCTCCATTTCATTCTCCTGCTCTTGTCAATCTGGTTCACCTTTCTTACTATGGATGGCTTGATTGATGTTACTTTCAATTATCTAGTCCATCTCCTACGTCATGCTCCATTTGACTCTCCATCATGGGGAGTTGCGCAGCCACCCTAAACCTACATATCCGTATATGTACACATACATATACATAAATAAATATATATATATGTATATATATATATGTCTTACATGGCTCCCATCGAATGTACAGCAAGCCCCCAAAATACCCCAACATAAATGTCCATATGCATGCCTGTACATCCATGCACGTATATTCCCTGTCTGTAATCCCTTCAGACGGAACCCATTGCTTTCATCCGCGTACTGAAACGGAACCCATTACAAAAGGAGGGGGAGCCTGTCTTCGACCCGCCATGGCCCATGTCTGCACCTCGTCACCTGTCAGGAATGACCTGAGTAGTGTTTGAACACCAAACCCATTGGGGTTATATTGGGATAATGGAAAAGAAAATGGAGACTACTATCTTTTGATAGGGCATATGTTAGGATTTAGTTTTCTGGCTGTTGAAGTGAGCAAGATTGAATTCTGTGTATAAAGTACTGTACCCAAAAGGAGGATATAATCTTACTCTTTGTTGGGAACCATAGTATGCCCAAATAGGGTTTAGGGTTTAGGGTACATATAGTAACATCCCAACAAAAGGCGACCCTAAAATAGACCCCAGTATACCATAATCCTTATCATGGGACCCCAATAAGGTACCCCTAATTTTGGGGAACCCCCTGATATGTATGTATATATGTGTGTATATATATATATGTGTGTGGCAGTGTGCGTGCTACTCACATGCGAGCAGCACCCTTGGACTACCACAGTTTCGGGCTCTCAAGGATTGTCATGTGGGTCCTGCCCCAAGCCATTAACAGTCTATCATAAGGGTCATATTAAGGGCTCTATATATGATTATATTATACATGTTATCCAACTGTTAATGAGTGGAGACAGTACCCGAACTATCATTCCCGTTCGTAGTTGAATTCCCTGTTACTCGTATTCTTACTGTTGCTATTGCTACGGTAGTAAGTATAAACCCTAAACTCGATAGTAGTGTCCATGTTCTTTTCCATTATCCCAATATAACCCCAATATAACCGCAGAAAGGAACCAATATAACCACAGTAAGAGTATACAGCCGCATAATATTTGGCAGGGAGCCACGGGAATCCGACACAAAACACAGGGTTTAGGGTTTAGGGGTTTAGGGTCTTAACAACCTGACGATGGTGTGCCAGGGCCGCCGAGGAGTCTCTTGAGATTGAAGTTTCGGGTTTGGGGTTTACGGGTGTGTCCATCTGGTGAACAGCTCTTGTCAGGTGCCTAAGGAAACCCTTCTCATAAGAAGGAACCAGCATAGCATTCCGAAACAGACCAGCTTCTTGGGGTTACAGTCCCCCTATAGTAGATAAAATATGGCTTTGGGTATAAAATAACAACAAGATCCCCATATACCCCATATGCCATCTATTTAAGGGGGGGCTTATCCGACAAGTTGCACCAACCTGGGTCCTCTAAGAATGCTTCGCCTTTCCCCCGCAAAAGGTCATCAAGGTGTCTCTTAAGGGGGACCCTACAGAACTTGGACCTAGCAATCTGTAGGGGCTATATAGGGACAATAGGGGTTTTATAGGCGTACATACGGGTCGTATAGGCTTTCTATAGGGGTTATATAGGGATAATAGGGGTTCTGTAAGGGTTATGAGAAGATTCTGTGGGTCCCCCTTATTGTTTAAGTCAGCGGGACGAAGCAAATAGGGTGGTCATGGGAGAATTGAGGTCATCAAATAGCTCATAATAGGGACTAGAACATGCTGTAGGTATTCTGTCCAAGATTTGCCAAGTCCACTGATCCTAAACCCCAAACTCCAATCCTAATGAACCCTAGCCTCCATGCGCAGCAGGGCCTATTTTGAGAAACTCACGAATGCCAGCCGAAATACCAAACTCGGTGAGGACCGAGTGGGGCTGGATCCTTTGCATGAATCTCATTCCCCATTGGTGTGGGGTTCAATCCTTCGGGTCTAGGGTCCAGGTTTAGGGTCTTGGGCTTAGGGTTCAGTGGCTTCTAAGATCCGAAGTAAGGGCCTCTAATATTGGCGCTCGATCTTGGGTGTCCTAGCATCAAACATGAACCTCCGTACATATGAGCTCATGAAGGGAATCTTCATAGAGGGGCCATTTGATATGCAGGGGCTCATCAAGAATGAGTTTACTGGGGCTCAGGCCCTCTTTATGTTTGTGGGGTGTATTCTTCACGGAAATTACGTAATAGGTCTTGTGCAACAACATTGGTGATGATGCAGTGTAGCGCATGGTAAAGCTGTTGGAATGAGAAGTGGAGAGCTCCTCCGACCCTCAGAGGAGATAGGTTTTTCATAGGCTGCATCAAGAAAAGGGCCCCGAAATAGGGATACCCGTAAGGACTTGAGGAGCATTTGGGAACATGAAGTAGCTATGTGGGTCCTCAGGTGAAGGAGTCTACAACAGTAATATTTGGGCATTCCCTTATGCAGGTAGTATGCATGTAGAAATGACTGAGCCCCTAGAACTGCATGACGGGCGGGAGCCCTGAGGAACGCTCGGAGTACATGTAGACTACATGGGACACTGTGGGTCCGTATGAAAGATTCTATAGAAAACTGCTGTGACACATTCTCAATTGGTTTTGCGTGCAAATTCTCGCCTCGATGATCTCATCGTCATCATCATCAAAGTCGTCGTTCCTTGGGCCAACAAGGGTGCAGTGTAGGTGTGGCTATGTGGGGAATAACAAGGTTTGAACCATGGAACCCCAGAAATCTTGAAGAACTGCCTCATGAGAGTGGTGGACTTCCTAGAATATGTATGCAATGTTCTGAAACACTGTCACATCTCAAGGCGGGGGTCCCTTCGCACTCAAACCAGGATCCTTACTTGCGACACCACCGATTTGACGACCACCTTGCTGTGCCGTCCCACGCTGCTACAGAAAAACGCAACTCTTCTGCACAGTTGACTTTCCCAACTGTAGCGCTTGCTGTGGAGATTGCTACAGCTTGCAGTTCAGCAAACGTTTGGGGGCCGGCAGCTGGCAACATCAACGCTGCATCATGCTTCTTAGCAACGATTTAGAGGCCGGCTGAATCGTCCTTCTCAGGCTTTCTTTACAGGTGGTCACTCTTCCTATCAGAAACAGCTGCGATTACAGGCGCCCTCTTGGCAAAAGTCTTCCTGGACCAGAAGCACCTGCGCAAGCCATAGTGACCGATGCCGGCTTGTCGCTTTACAATGCCTGCCACATCATGTCAAGGCGATCAATATCCTGTTCAACTGAGCCTTTTGTCCCCGCTGATGATGTATCCCCGAACTCGTTTCTTACTACTTACTACCGTCGCAAAAACTATCACAGACGGTCCTTCAACTGCCGCAACCACCAACAGTACGACGGCAATATAGAATATAGATACCACACCTCGCGGCCCAAGCTTCAAGTCCTGCTCAGGAAATAGCCTGTCAATGTTGTCGTTGTCGAACTCTGCCTCCTCAATGCAGGCAGCTCATGAGAACATGCATTCAACGGACACCCCTCCCTACCACTTCTTCTTCTCACGGCTTTGCTCTCCAAAGGGAGGCCCCGGAGCAAGGCTACGAGCTGGGTCGGCTTTCAAAGCACGTCCGACTGCCGAGGCCCCACCCTGCAGTTCGCCTGCCCCAAGAAATGCAGAGTATTGGATCCGCCGACTCTTCTTGAAGCTGTTGTCAGAAAAGCTGATCACCAGAATGATCCCTGCTCACTATACATCTTTCCCAAGAGCACCAGCGTAGAATGCGGCCGTAGAGCATGACCCAAACCCTGAACCGCGGCGGGGAATTTGAAATCCTTCTCTACCTATTCTGCCCCTCAGCTAGCAGCTAGGATCGTAGGCATTGCGGTATGTGGATACTTTATTAAGGGGCCCTTCTTCCCAAGCAGCCCGCACAATTCCACCCAACCTCTAGCGCTATGTTACCAACCTGAACTCGAAGGAAATGAAACCGAACCCTCCAACAGAAATGAGCCATAGCGCCTTAATCCCCATATCCTAACCTCAACGCACTACCTGTAACCCCAATTACCTACCCCTTAGTGCTGGGGCCCCTAATCAGTAGGTATAACCCATAAAGCTTTAGTTCATTGGGGTTAGAGGTAAACCCTAGCTTCCAGATCCTCATCTCCACATGAATGCAACATGCAGGCCTGAGACTCTGGGGGCACATCGTCTGAACAGCTCGGAAGCACCTTCCATTAAGGTGTCATTACAGACAACTCAAAAGGTTTGATTGGGTAATTCTGGATTTGCTGAGCATTGTGCAAGGCTTAAATGCGTAGTAGTGGCGGCTACACTTTACAAGGTTAGAAAGCTTCAAAACATGTGGGTCTTGCTGTGCTTGTCTTTATGCAAGGATTCTCCCTGATGTTGGTCCCAGTTTTGACTTTCCCAGTCTTGACATCTAGAATGTGGAGTGCACATGAGTGCGCCGCAAGCCACCTATGCGCGCGCAAGCAGCTACAGCTAGCTATACATGATGCCTGAACGCAAGTCATCATCAGACCCCGGGCATAAGGACCCCCAATCAGGTGTTGTACTCTTCAGAGCATCCCGCTTCTGCCTGCACATCCACCGGTGGCGGAGGGTGAGATGGACCTGGAGCTGCTGAGTCTTTCGCAGCGCCGGCCTTCTTCCTCGGTGGTTCCGTGTGACACCAGATGGCACTGGAACAAAGATTTGCAATGCCCCACATGGGCTATTGAGCAGCTGTTGCCATCCTGAATCTTTCTCAGCAAATACCGAAGGGCAAACCTACCTTAAAAAACATCTGAACCATCTTTGCATGCAGGGCGCTTCTTCTTGCGTTTCGGAGGCAGCGTCGAATCAACCGGCATATGCTCAGGTGGCAGAGAGATGTCTTGACTTGCGCTCACGGCATCCGCCAGCGTCTGGCAGGGCATAGGTGTTGACAACTCATGGGGTTCTCGTCCTTTGACGGTTTCGTGTTCAGGTAGTGGTCATGCCATGGGTGCACGTAAGTGTTGGACTCAGGCTTTGAATCCTTTCCTCTTGGTGCTCTTTTTGCCGAGAAGGAAATGGAAACTGCTTTTAGGGTATCTTGTTTCTGGAAAGGCAAGAAATATGGAAGCTACTATGTATATTAGGTTTTGTAGAGGTTACCTTCATCACCCGGTCCCCACAAACAACCAGGAAGTATGGGACCCATACAAATATCAATGCTTCTCCCAGGGTCTGGGAAAGGCTCCAGAGCATACCCGCCCCTGTACTTTCCTATGCAACTATAGTACAACATAACCCTAAACCCTAAACCCTAAATGCCCTAAACCCTAAACCAACATAACCCTAGGCAGCACCTTGACTTGTGTTCTTCAAGAAAGCCTCCACACTACTGACGCGCACAGACCCCTGCACGGTTATCGTAGGAGCTTAACAATCAGGTTTTGGGTCACGTTTTGATACATGTGTATAAGCATACCCTGAGAGCCTAAAACCTAGAACCCTCAACCTCAAACCTTGAGCCCGAACCAACAACCCTAAACCGCTAAAACCAACACCCAAAAACCAAAAACCCCTGTATCCAAAGCTCCAAACCTTAACCACTTCACCTCTCAACCCTAACCCCCCCCCCCCACCCTAAGCTTTATGGTTGAAATGGAGGAATGGACCTTATAGAATTGGTAGCCCCTCCGCCCCCCCGACCCCAACAAAAAATGTCAGTGTCCACTTTGTTTTCCACATGTCCATTCCTTTCTTCCCCACTAGCAACAGTCAACTCTAACCGCTGTATAAAGCTACAGATCACCAGATCCCTACATAATCCCACTTTCCATTTCATGTTCCATCTTCTTTTCCATTTGACTGTCCACTATTGGGGGTAATATCCCCAAACCCTAATTAGTAGTTTCCATTTTCTTTTCCATTATCCCAATGTAAGCCCCATATAACCCCCATATAAGCCCCCTTCAAATTATTCTGCCACTTAATTCTTCATCCCCTGCCAGCATCCCTATGTCCTAGAGGTTGAACTACGTGGCATCTCGCATGCTCTTTGTCATTCCCTACTACAACCAGCAATTGAACCCTAAACCCTCATATCTCTATATGTCCCCAATTTACACCTCTCCATGCCCAGTTTAACCCTAAACTCCACACGCAAATCACAAGCTTACTGATGGCTAACAGGGTAAAAGGGAATATAAGCTCTATATACTATATGCCCTTGCTCCCGACTAGCCACCAGTAAGTAATCCTAAGCAGTGAGAACAAGCAGTAAGTGAGCCCCTAAACCCTGAACCCTAAACCCTATAGTAGATAGAATATGGGGTACATGGGGATCTTATTATGATATACCCAAAGCCATATTCTATCTACTTAAGGGGAAATATACCCTACCCCCTAAATAGTAGCTTCCATTTTCATAACCCCAATATTCTATCTACTTAAGGGGGACTATAAATTGCCCCCGCCTGCTCCAAGGTCTCGCCTGTTAGGCTGGTGAGGCGTCGTGAAGGCGACCAATTCACCATGGCAGCCTTTTGGGAACATGGGGTTTAGGCGGGTTTGAGCTTAGGATTTCGGATGTAGGTTGTAGGGCCTAGGTTCTGGATTTAGTTTTTCGGGCTCAGGATTCTAAAATTCGGGTTTGGGTGTGGAAACGAACATGAAGACCCGACAGAGGCGCAAGAAAGCCAACTGTCCCTGTACAAGCGGGATACATGGCATACAGGAAAAGACAACAGAAAATGAAATGGAAGCTACTACAGTATACTGTGTAGGTAAGGCTATCCAGTCATTTTCTAGGGTGAGATATAGTACCCCGCCCAGTGAGAATCAAGCGGAAAAGAAAATATAGGGGCTTATAAGGAGTATGCAGATTGTGGAAGTACGTAGAAATTGGTAGGTTGTCAAACTTGTGGTTCACCTAACACCATGGAGGTTTAAGGGATACTCCTTATAAACCTCCCATAGATTTTGATTCCTTTTCATGTCTCATCTAATTCTTCATCTGATTCTCCATGAAAGGGGTAGTATCCCTGAACGCAATATAAACCCTACGCCTATATAGTATTTTCCAAAACAGGGGGTAACCAATATAGACAGCAAAATACTATAGTCCATAACTTGGGGACCCCCAAACAGGTACCCCTAATTTTGGGAAACCCCCAAATAGCAGTTTCCAATTTCCATGTTCTTTTCCACCATGGCGGCCTTCTCGGAGGAGGCGCAGGACCGACTGAAAGTACGTGCTAGCGGAGTACCGGGCTTTTCACCGTTTCGGGCTTCGGAGGTTAAGGCTTAGCAGTTTAGGCAATAAGGTTAGACAGCCGGCGGCTTGAGAAGTCTGTATTAAAGCATTTTGTGGAGAATCTTCCAAATGAACGGTTATTTCAATCATAGTCTAAACTCCTGGTTTCCCCCTTAATCACCCCTATTATAGTCCCCTATAGAATCCCCTATATAAACGCCCCTTTTTAAGGAGTTTAGACTATAGCTCACATAACCCTAATCCCCATTAATTGTCCTATAATCCCAGTTTCCATTTCATTTTCCATTTTCTTTTCCATTTGATTCTCCATTATTGGGGGGTAATATCCCTATATGCTCACTTGAGAAGCCTGAGGTTGAGGTCGCTGGGTTGAAGGTTCCAGCTTCAGAGCTGTCATAGGAATACTACACCAGTAATTAAGGGTTTAGGGTTTAGGGTCTAGGGCTTAGGGTTTAGGGTGGGTGATAATAGGAACCAGTAATAGTAATGGTGATACTTAGAATACTACCTAGAGGGTCAGAGGACTTAGTAAGTGGGTTAATAATGCGGAGAACTGGGGTTACTATAGCCCAATGGTAATGGTGACAATAGTAATACTAATGATAATCTTCATGGTACTAACGGTAATATTGGCAATAATAGCAATACCCTGGAGCTCCATGTCTGTAAATTAAGCCTACATTGGGCCATCTGGAGCCCTAGGGATAATGGTAAGAATGTGGTATAGGGGCTGCGGGAAGGCAGCCTTTTACACATGGCCTAGGATGAGCCCAGGCAGGAAAAACCCTGCATCAACAGCCTAAACCCTAGGGAAAGCCAACATCCTAAAACCTAGACCTTGAACCCTGAACCCCAAACTCGTGAACCTTAAACCTAGTCCTTCAACCCTGGACCCTAAAACTAAACACTATACCCTTAACCCCAAACTCTCAACTGTTCAGTGCATTTTCAGGGCAAGTTGACCCTTGCCTTGGCTCGGACACGCAAAGCGGCAATGTCTGGCCTGACTGGAACTATAGTTTTGTAGGTAGATGGATAGCATATACATACATACATACATACATACATACATACATACATATAAGGGTTTAGGGTTAAAATAGGGTTTAGAGTTCAGGGTTTAGGGTGTATATATATATATATACACATGTTTTCATACATGTACGAGTCTGTGGCTTATAGCTTTGTTTCAGGCTGACGGTCTAGGACTTACGTACAGGCTTTGCTGAAGGTTTAGATTGAATGCGCCTCAGCGCTCGCAACAAAGGGAAGCTTTGGAGTACAGGAGAATTCCTGGGGTCCCCAGAAAAGCTATTCTGTGCGTACTTTCCTCCCATGCCAGGCAAGCCAAAAAGAGTAAGGTGTGCTTCGAATTCTGCCTTTAAGGATTTAGGGTTTAGGGTCTATAGCCCAGAAGGTACACCTGTGGTCTCTTTCTTGGATTTGCTGGGGCTAGGTGTTGAGGGACTACATCACGCATCATGCAGAAAAAGATGCCAATAAATCCTCACAAATTGTAGTCAATACTCCAAGTCATGTACTAGTAGGATGTCGTCGTATCATGGGGCACGCAAGTGCAGGGAGTCCACAGCGTAAATTCGTTGCCCAGGATTTCCGAAAGGGTACCATACAACAAATGTGGCATTGCATGGGGCTGCAGCGGCCAGGGAATCTCAAGACACTCTGTCCTAAACCCTATATAGTCCCTATATAATGCCTATATAACACCTATAGAATCCTTATATAACCCTATATGAACCTGTGGGCTTGTCCTCAAGGCACAATAATTCCTTCACCGCCCTCAACCTTCTATTGCAAAGCCCCAAGAACTAATGCGAACTCCTAAATACGCAGCTCCTTTTCAAAGGACGGTAGTCTTTGTGTGGCCTTTTCTGGGGTTCAATGCTAGTTTGGGAAGGGTATGTGTGTATCCTGCCTCTGGTTCTCTGCGTCCAGGACGTCGGCGAAGGCCAACGCTAGAAAGGGCGCATACTCCATCCTGAATACTTTGGCTTTACGCTCAGGGGCCCTGGAGTTTCGTAATGCCCAATATTCCTGTGGGAAACCCAAAGATTATCCGGCAGCAGCCCATTGTAAGCAGCATGATATCTCCTTTAAAGTCTGGGATCCTTGGAAGCTAGGATTCTGTAGCAGCCCCATGCGTCAAAGTGAGGGCCCCATAGCAAACCGTATGGGAGCTTACAAGGTCCTTTACAGGGGTCGCTTGTTGGGAGTATGTTGGGGAGAACAATTACAGTAAGTGTGAAGGACCCGAATGGCTATGGATCAAAACCCTTTCTGTCGCTGGGCCCCCACCCACACCTTGTTACATACCCCTAGGCCCTTTGTCCCAGCCTGCTGTGACATACTTGTCAAAGCTTCGTACACTTATGCCCCACAAAAAGCGCTATCTTAAGGGTGGTTATATAGGGGTTATTAGGGGGATACTAGAAGTTTAGAGTATGGCTCATATCAGACTATGATGGGGAACATTTGTTGTTACCGGGGTACGGGCGTTACATTCCTTACCCTAATCCCTAAACCATGCACCCGAAACCCTCTAGAAGAAGCAGGGCGGCCCTCAAGGCACAGACTTTCTCAACATTCGGATCTCCCTGAGCCTGAAACCCTAATTATGGGGTAATGGAAAAGAAAATGGAAACTACTATAGTATAATAGGGGGTATATAGGGGTTATATCGGGGGTAAATTAGAGGTCTGTAACTCTTTTTGAGGCCTGCACTCAGGGACCCACAAATTTGAACCCTGCTCGGAATATCTCTCATTGGGAAGTGGTTTCATCCTAGGCCAAGGGATTATAGACATGAGGGGCTCTCACAAAAAAAGAGAGCTTCTTCTAGGGATTAGGGTTTAGGCATTGTATAGTTCTGCAGAGACCATCAGGAAACTATGGGGATCTCTCGTAGGAATGTACGGATGATGTAGAAATGTTCCCCAATTCCATCGAGCTGCAGCACGAATGACATGAAAGGGGCGGTAAGGCCATGCCAGCGGTCTTGGAGAGAGTGTCCTTTCAGCACCAGCAGACCTTAACAAAGAAGCTGTCTGATTGCTTGATGGGTTTGTGAAAGGCTTCCTGCGGTTCTGCAAGAGCAGCGTACGGAGCAAGGGTTTTTACGGACTCGAGGGGATTATGAGGCTGAGGAAGGGTCCCGTGCTGGGACAGCAGTCTAAGTTGGAGAAAGTCTGATACATGCATGACCTGGTCCCCAAACCTTTCCCAACAAAACACAATAAAAGCTTTGCTTGTAAGGGCAACGGGTGCTTTCTTTGTTGTCGCCTGTTTGTGGGTCTGCTACATCATGAGGGATATCGGATAACCTCTGAAATTTTCAGGCTTCTGCATGATACTCCTGATGACTGCTCCTGTCAGTGTTGTGTCAGCCCGTTCTTGTGCACTCCTACTAACCTTACTATACTGCTGCCACTGTCCTTGCCATTCCTGCTGCCACGGCAGCAGAGTTAGTGAATGTTTGCTACTAACCATGCAAGGACGAAGATGGGAGCTTTGGGAAATTGAGGCGCCGCTGCGGATCCTAAACTGTATGGCCGTTCTGAGAAGATTGTATTGTGATTGTCACTTTATTAAAAATCTCTGATAGTACTGCAGCCGGGCTTCGAATCAACGCTGTCAGTTGATTGATCCCACCACCCAAGTAGAGATCTGTGATCAATGCAGACTCTTCCGCCACGTCTAAGTATGCCTCGGCGCATGAAGGCTGGAGCACGGCCTAGACAATCAGGAGGATTTCGAGGAATATGTGAGGTTTGCATGTAAGACGCAGCCACATATGGGACAAAACGATATATACAAAGAACAGAAGGACATCTTGCCAGTATTCATGTAGGTCTCCTTGCTACTGGCGTCTGGCGAGAATGACTGCTTCTTCTGAGAGTCAATTCCTGATTGCTAGCCCATGACGGGTGGGTAATTTCAAGGTGGGTCCTCTCCCCTAAGCCCGTATACCATTCTCATGAGATACCATGTCTCATGGACCCACCTGCAGATTCGTGCTCAACCGAACCAAGCAGCGCTCAAGTGGAAGAGATGATTCGAGGGTGCCCGGGGATCACCTCATCAAATGAGAGTTTAGGGGTTCAGGGTGTGTGTACTGGTTTGAGAGGCACGAAGGAATGGACTTGTGAGAAAGGCATCTTTCATGTCGAATATCAGAGGGTGGGCTTCTGGAGCTTGTTGCCCGGGATGATATACGAACTGCTACAATCTTTTTTTTCCCGAGCAGCCGGGAGCACATTGAGCAGTTCAGAGCGCATGCTTCGCGAATGCTTTCGGGGCTGGAAACAAGCCCTTCTCCCCGAACGCTAATCATTTCCAGCACTTTTTTTGGAAAAACAAGGGTCATGGAACTTGGCAAGTAGGTGACTGATAAGGGGCAGAGTTAGGTTCATTCTACTTCTTACATTGCCACATCTCTTCCAAGCTACTGAGACTTGCAAAGTCCGCTCATGTCCGCTCGGTGCTCCAAGTGACCCAAACAACCCTCCAAGGGGCCCATGTCAACTCCTTCGAGCCCAGGATATGGTAGTTTCCCTAAATAGGGGGACCCCAATATAGACCCCAAAATACTATAACCCTTGTTATTGGGACCCCCAAAATGGTACCTCTAATTTTAGGAAACCCTAATCCCTATAAAATCCCTTATATAATCCCAGTTTCCATTTCATTTTCCATTTTCTTTTCCATTTGATTCTCCATTATAGCACCCAAAAGGGTACCCCTAATTTTGGGAAACTCCCATATCCTGAACCCTAAACCTTAAACCCTAAACCCTAAACCCTCATATGTCAAGGGCCAGCACCAGGAGCCTGAAGGTTTTGATGCATCCACGAAGAAAAAAATCCTGACTTGAATGTCCCGATCGTCGTATCCTTTAAAGGGACGACCTCCTATAGTCCCCATGAAGTAGATAGAATATGGGATATGTGGGGAACTTATTATAATATACCCAAAACCATGTTCTATCTACTTAAGGGGGACTATAGATGTTAAGCAGGCTCAGAAATCAGCTGATTCCTCTCAGAACTGTGGCGACAACCCTGCAGAACACTACAACCTTACATTCTCTTCGGTCCCTTCCTAGTATCCTAATGACCCGCCCTTGTGACCTCGTTGCTGAGCTCCGTCACACACAAAGTTTCTAAAGTCTGACATAGGGACATGTTTGGGGGTAAGAACTTTCGGCCTGAACCACCCTTTGGGGTAGGCCTGTATGATTTGCCCACATTGGGGATCACGCTAAATCTAAATTGCAAACCCCCAGCCACATACAACCAAATAGGCAATCTGGGCCGTAAACCTTCGGAAATCTAGCCGCTAAGAGAACCCCCTTGCGACGACTGTATCCTCCGGGTTCGACGCCCTCCCTTGTAGTTAAGGGTGTTGCAAAATCCGAACTGCAAACCTTGCAAGCGGAAACTTACACCTATAGAATCCTTAGTAGGGACTTTGTATATATGTATATATATATATATGTGTGTCTCCAGGGTCCCATCAGGCCCTCCCTTTCAAGAATCCCTGAATGCCAAACCTTTAGTGTGAACCTTCTAAAGTTGAGGCTGGCCTGTAGAGTCCGTGCAGGGACTACATCCCCAGGGTTCTAAACGCCTCCCTGTTTTAAGAAGCCCTGAATGCTAAACCACCCTCAAGCCTCCCAGAGTAACCCTTCTCAACCCTAAACCCTCAAAGCCCAAACCCTCAAACCCCAAACCCTCGAACCCAACATCCTCAAACCCAAAACCCTCAAACTCAAAATCCTCAAACCCAAGACCCTCACACCTCAAACCCCAAACCCTCAAACCCAAAATCCTCAAACCCAAAGCCCTCAAACCCCAAACCCTCAAACCCAAAACCCTCAAACTCAAAATCCTCAACCTCAAAACCCTCAAACCCCAAACCCTCAAACCCAAAACCCTCCAACTCAAAATCCTCTAACCCAAAACCCTCAAACCCCAAACCCTCGAACCCAAAATCTTAAACCCTCAAGCCCTAAACCCTGAACCCTCAAGCCCGAACCCTCGAACCCAAAATCTTAAACCCTAAAACCCTAAACCCTGAACCCTCAAGCCCTAGACCTAAACCCTGAAACCCAAAAACCTTAAGCCCTCAAACCCTGAACCTTCGAATCCAAACACCTTAAACCCTCAAACCCTGACCTTCGAACCCAAAACACAAAACCCTCAAACCCTAAACCCTGTTTGGGGTCTGGGGGAAGCTTCTGGACCTGATTGCAGACCCGGTCACTCTGCTGTCTGCTGGTACTGAAGCTAGCCTGGACTGTCTCATATAGGGTTATATTAGGGATACATTGGATGTGTAGGATTATCTGGGATTGTGTAGGGTTCATATTGAGTCTAGGTGTTGCGGATTAGAGTTTAGAGTTTAGTAAGGATTGGGGTTCAGGAACTGGAGTGCAGGGTTCAGGGTTTAGGGCCTTGGCATTGGGGTTTACGGTTCAGGATGTGCATGCGGCGGCTGCTTGGGTGATAAACGTAAGTGTGCAGAGGGAAAAGGACATAGGTATAGATGTACAAATATGTGCCCATACACCCATGACCATGTATACATATATATATATATGGGTGGAGCCAATCAAAATTAGAACTCTTCGGAGAACCCCGGCATGTCTCCTAGCCTTCAGGAGATTTCAAGGGCTCCAATGGCAAATGGCTTTTATATTTTGGTCTTCACCAATATTCCTGGGACTCCTGCATACTACACACACACACACCAAAAACTCAAAGTAGAATCACATGGGCAACTGGAAACCATAATGAGGCCAGAGGGCCAATGCACGTTCTTCGGCTTGAAGCATGCCTCAGCAAGTCTGAAACTGCCCGTTGCACCTTTCGTTAACCCAGCCCAACACATGGCCACCCTTTATGGCATGAAAGCCTTCAACACTTGGATCTTTCTGATGGTCATGTCTTGGGCTTTGTGTCTGGGGGGCTGAGCTGGGTCCAGAACCGCTCTACCTCCATAGGGGAGCGTCGGCTGTATTCTGGGAGCACCTGAATCCGTCCAAGATTCGGTAGTGCCCCTTGCACACGCCCAGCTCTGTGGCATACTTCAAGTTTGGCACGGGCTTGTTGCCTGATTGCACCAAGAGCAAACATCCACACAAGCATGTCAGCATCCTTTTGAACCACCCAACCCCCAAAGCACAGTTCATATCTGCAGGGTGCTTGGTCTTCCAAGGGCATCAATGCAGCTGAGGAGCAAAGGCAACAATTCTCTGGCGATCCTTTGGAATTGCAAGCCTCCCGTGCCCAACGGGATCGCTCCTCGGCCAAGACTTGATCGAAGTCGCAGTCTTCCAACATGCCCTTTGCTGCTCTTTCTTTCCTGAAAGGGGCAAGATCTGGGTTGTTTGAAGATTCTACACTTCGCGACGTAATCCAGAGCGTTGCCTGTAGCAACCGAAAACAAGGTCTATGACAGAACTGTCTTGCAAAGGACAAAAGTGCTACATCCTCGTGTATTACTCCCCATAAGCCCGTTGGCCTTCACATGAGCCATAGCTTGAACTCCTAGTATCCCCCTTAATGGTCCCTATACTAATGCCCTTATAAGCCCCTACACAAACCCCTGTAAGGAGTTTCCACTATAGCTCATATGCTTCCACAGTACGGGCCTCGTAGGGGAAGCTCGCCAAACATGGACCCCTTTAGGCATCCTTGAGATACAAGGACTAGAAAGGGGTAACCCAGACCCATGATTAATGAACCCACTCCCCTTAATAGGGACCATAAGAGGGATCCTAGATATTAGGCCCTTAAATGGAGGGATTCATTAACAATGGGTCTACATCATTCAAGTTCAGGGTTTAGGGTTTCATTTCGGCATTCTTCATGATTGGTGGAAGACATTTGCACATCACCCATTTTTAGCTCTCGAGACCATTAAATGTCGGTATGCTTATGTATGTGCATATGAATACACGCCTGATATATAGATAGACAAATACAAAGATGCCCACCGCACGAAAACATGCATTTGGTAGTTTCCTTACATAGGGGGACCTCAAAATAGACCCCCAAGTACTATAATCCTTATTATAGGGACCCCCGAAAGGGTACCCCTAATTTTGGGAAACCCCCATTTAGCTTGTCAGTGCCAAAAACAGGGACGTCTACGGCAAAGCTTCCGCCGCTTCGGCGATCGCCTCTGAGCGCGAACAGGCTTTGCCGTGGCTTGCGCCTCATGATGCGGTTTTGTTTTAACGTTTAGGTTTACGGTGCAATCCCCTTAGGTCTAGAATGAGAAAAGACCAATTTCTTATAGTGCCTTGGGCTTTACTACAGTGAAAATATGACAAATCATTCTGAAAGTGATTGGTTTAGGGTATACGCCATGCGATCAGGGGCCTGCACTTAAGGCTTGAGGTTTAATTAAGGGCTTCGGGTTTAAGGGTTTAGATTTAGGTGTGGTGAAGTAGACCTGTGGTGAATACAACCACGGTATGGACGGAAAGTGGGATGCTGATTGTTGCGTCTTTCAGGAGTTTTACAAGGATTCAAGCAGCGGATGTTGGGGGTCTACGTATTTACATTCCTCCATGCGTAGTGGTTTAACAATGAGTCCTATGATGCCTGGCTAAAGCTGCACAAGCAAAGTCGCTGCATCATCGTTCCCTCAACCATACGGTCCAGGACCGCAACGGAAACTCATAGTCAGACCCCCCTCCCAAGAAACGCACCCATAATCCAGAGTCCCTTACAGTGCTTTTGCTCTTTACAAACTGCATGCCGTTCTGTTTGGAAAACGCATGCGTCGCCTGGCCTTCGCGTGCTTCGCGTCTGTCTGGAATGTTCTGTGATTTTCCTGGTTGCCAGGTCCATGGTGGCTCTCGTCCTCATGACCTGGGAGGCTTTCCAAATCATCTGGGCTTCCTCTCAGAAGGACTGCTTCATCAGGGAGAGCCCAATTTGAAAACTTACCGGCTGCAGAAACCTTTGGCCGGGCTGTACTTAGATCCAGGAGCCGATGCCAAAATGGCCTCTTTCTATCCCGAGCATTCTCAAGGCATAGCTCATGCCTCCTGCGAAACCCATCCTCATCCCAAAGCTCTACAACCTTTTTCCCTAAACCCTGAACCCTTCCTGACTTATGAACCTTGTCCCATCTTCCCTTCATCACCCTTCCTCTTTAACCCCAGCACCCCACCTTCATCCTCCTGCTGGCCGTCATCTTCCGGAGCATCATCCTCTGCACCTTCCTCTTCTTGGCCTTCATGACAGACATGACGAACATTCGGAAACTGGTCTTAAAAGTTTCAGAGTTGAGGTTTTGGGCACAACTTCGGGATCACCATCATCGGCGCCGATGACTACAAACTACATGTAGGAAGTATGACCGCTAAACCCGAAACCCTTTATAACCCCATTATAGTAGTTTCCATTTTACATTCCATTATCTCCATATACCGCCTATGCAACCCTTTAAAGGTACCTTACCCTACTCCTGGAACCCTAAACCATAAACCACTCAACCTTGAGGATGTTGTCCGGTTTGCTGTTAAGGAACTTCAAGTAAATCACTATCATAAGGAAACCCCATTATGTATATGTATATGTATATATACACCCGGATTATGGCAACTGAAGCCCCAAACCCTAGATCCTATACTCCATATTACATGAAAACTTAATTTAGGTATTCCTTTGTAGCAACCTAGCAATTTCAGGCATAAAGGCCTATATAAACCCGTATAATCTCTATACACCCTACAGCTGGTAGTGTCTATTTCCTTTTCCACGTCCCATCTCACCCCAACATGAACCCTAACCCTAAATGGTAGTTTCCATGTTCTTTTGCATTATCCCTGTCTCACTCAAACCCAGATTCATGATGACTTTGGGAAATACTATACGCCAAAGGAGGATACATTATTGCTCTATGTAGGGTACCATAGTACCCCATATAAAATACGACCCAGTTGTTGCTTTATCCCTATATGGGGTTTCCATAAAAAAAAATATGGTACCATTGTGGGGGTCCCCAAAATGAGGATTATCGTATCTTGGGGTCTATATTGGGATCCCCCCATTCAGAGGAAGTACCATATGACCTACCTCAAACCCCTAAACCCTAAAATTATAGTTGCTGCTACCAGCATTCTGCCTTCATCCTGGGTTTCGTTCGAAGCTTCATCTGCCTCGCCGTCCTCCTTATGCGTTTAGTGTTTAGAGTTATGGGTTTAGGGTTCTGGGTTTAGGGCTATGGGTTTAGGATTATGTGCTTAGGGTTATGGGTTTAGAGTTCTGGGCTTAGGGTTTAGGGGTTTGGGGATATGGTTTATGGGCTTAGGGTTATGCGTTTAGGGTGGGTTTTGCTTTTTTGTTTAATGCCAATGCGCTTTTCAGAGGGTCTGAGGTTGATCAAGTTAAGGGTTTCGGGTCCAAGGTATTTCGGGCTTACGAATTTTCAGGTCTAGGGCTGAGAGCCAAAACTCTTTTGAGCTTGTCCGTCGTAACGCATGGAGGGCCAAAATAAAAACACTCAAGTCTGGCCACCTGGAACTGAGAAAACACTCCCTCCTCCTACATATGTCCGTCATGGAATGTTGACTATCGACTATTCGGAATTGATCTCAATGTCAGCGGGCATGGATTACTACTCCAGCAGAAGCAATGGCCCTAAACTTCAAATTTGTAAGCCCTCCACCCAAAGCCTGAACTACAAATCTTGGTTCCTTAAGACCTACGCGAATCCTGCACGCCAAAGCATCAAAGCTTTGTAGAACCCCTCGTATTCCTAAGTAGCCACCGTATGAACCATAAGTGACAAGAGGTCCCATTCAGGGTCGCTCCTAACGCCCCTAGAAAAGCCTTAATCCTGAATCATCGACCCGAAGCCCTCAAACCCAAACCCTGAATCCTACACTCTAAATCCCAAATATTCTAAACCTTAAAGCCCAAGAATCCTACAGCCTGAATCCCAAATATACCTAACCCTAAAGCCCAAATATCCTACACTCTGCATCCCAAATATACTAAAACCTAAAGCCCAAACATCCTAAACCCTAAGCCTTCGCCCAAGCTTCCATCTCCTCGCCCTGGCTCTCGTCACCGCAGTTTTCATCTTCCTGGCCATGCGCTGGGCCCTGCTCTTCTGCATCTTCGGCTGCTTCTGGTAGGCTCTCAGGGGCCTGAGACAAGGAGAGGAACGCAGGAGAGGGCTTAGGTCAAGCATTAAGATCCTTAGGTAAGGAATTGCCTAGATCTCCCAAAGAATTCCCCTAGACACATGGTTTGGGGCCAAAAGCTGTTCTTGTGGGATTCGGGAGGTAGGGTTTAGAGGGTTGGCATTGGGCTTGGTGATAAGGGCGGATAAAGCCGGTGCAAAGAAGAGCAAATACACCCCAGCTAGACCTAAACTGTTTTCCCTCGCAGGGCCTGCCACTCAATTCTTATCTCACACCTCGAAAGAAGGAACCATAAACCTCAATCCCTAAGCTGCAAATCCTGAGCTCTGCCCTTAACCTTGATCGCCAAACCCATTCAACGCTTCAGGAATAATGTAGACCTGTGATTAATAAACCCCCTCCTTCTAAGGGCCTTAATATTCGGATCCCCATTATAATCCCTATTAAGGGGAGGGGGTTCATTAAGTAGGGGTCTGGGTAAGAGTCTAAGCTCTTAGTATCCCCCTTATTACCCCCAGAATACTGCCGTATATAGTAGCCTATATAACCCCTTTAAGGAATTTAGACTATGGGTTAATGCCGGCCTTGCTTTGCTGCGATATCTTTTCGCCCTCCTCCTGGCCCCAAGACTTGAGCTTTCTAAAATAGCTAAGTGGCTGTTACCTAGTGCTACGAAATTCTATATTTACTGGGGTTATATAGGGATAATGGAAAAGAAAATGGAAACTTTTCTACTTTCAGTATATTATATTATATTCTCGTATATTATTGCGTGATCGTAAGTAATCAGAGAGACTTTGGGGGATTATTTGGTCATAACTTTGATTATCTCAAGGGCTACCCTTCGGATGCCTTAAGAGCCGTAGAGTTTATTATATGAATTGTAGGGGATCCCTCCCGAAGGTTCTAGTCTGAAGAGCACTGCAAGCCTCAACGCGAACTTACCGCAGCATGGGCTCGAGCTAATTTTGACAACCGAGGCTTTAGCAGATATGGCGTGCACGTGCTAGCATGGATTAAGGAAATGCTAAATAATTGGGATGCGCTACCTCATACCTTGAGAATCACAGGGTGGATTTGCCGGGGAAGATCGAAAAGCGTTGCGGGAGAGGTGGTGGTCAGGGGAGGTGTATATCTAGGAAGCTACTCATACTACCCTATTCAGCTATAGCTTAGGTAGCAAGCAAGCACTATCACTATCTATACTTGCCTCGGCACCATGAGATTACCCCTCTCAACCCTGAATCCCCTAAGCAGGGTCGTGATTCGGATACCTTTTACGGACTAAATTTTTACAAGCCTTATCGAGGCTTAGTATAACACACGTTAACAACTATGTCCGACAATGACCCAATAGACGCTCAAGCTTACATGTGGTTAATAATTAGCGAATAAAAGAATATAATCTCTTCATATCTCTATACAATCCCTATATCACCCTTATAGTTATAGACTACATTCCATTCTTCCCTACTAACTAACCCCCAGTAAAGAATTGTCGAGCCGCAGAAGGCCCTCTTTCTTGCTGCTTGTCCTTGTGCGCTTCTGCCGCCTGAGCCATCTGAAAGGCTGGGATGCTGCAGCTTGACCCTACTTGAAGCAAGCGCAGGGCGCCTTTGGAGGGCTTATACGGAACTTGTATGAGCTAGAGTCTAAACTCTAAGCAACCCAGTCGGTAACCATGCAAAACTCCCTTATGGAATTCCGTATATAGCCCCCTTTAAGGAGTTTAGACTATGGTACATGTGAGGCTTAGTGGCTGTTGCTGGGTGGTTAAACCAAGCCTAATCCCTTATAAGTGACAAGGGCTGTGTTACGATTTAGTCCGTTCTTTGCTGTTGAAACAAGCCACAACGAGAGAAAGATCTCATGCTATATTGGTGCCTACAGTATCCTCTTTTGGTTTATAAGAAAAGGTACAGGGTCACATCCGAATTATGCAAATACTGCGGCAATGTAAGTGCCTGAATAATTACCAAGACTATCCCTTATAATCCCTTTACAAGTATGCCATAATGCATCACACATCCCTATTTACCCTAAACCCTGAACCCCAATAATTGTGCCTCTACAGTGCTCTTGAAGGCTTGGACCCTGGGTGCATCCTTTTTCTGGCTTGAGCTCCTACCGATTCCCTGTGCCAAAACACGAAAGCGCAAGAGTAATGTGGGGCCTTAATAATGAGAACTGTTTTTTGGGGCTAACTTAACCATAGTTCGATAGGAAGACTATCAAGGGATAATCTTGATAACCTTTCAAGCTCCTACACATGAGAAACAGAGTCCGAGATGAAATCCTAGAACTTAAAATCCTCTTCACCTCTTCCAGCAAATAACATGAGGCATGAAAAATGGACTCGTATTGGTCTGCATGGGGTTGCCGAGGGACATAAACAAACACCAGGCAAAACCACCAGCACTACTCCTTTCTTCACTTCCAACATACCAAAAGTCAGCCCTCAGCAGGTTCTGACAGGAGCTGTTTGAGAAGATTTTGTCTCATTCCTTCTGGGCTAAGGATCCTCTGCCAGAACGTGCTGCAGTTGCTTTAGAGGCACTGTTTCGAGGCGCTGTTTCTACTCCCGACTGTTGCGCTCCCTGGGGCCGGGTGACGTTGTTGCAGGTGGCAAAAACCACTTGGATGCTCAAAACCTAGGGTCCCCTTGAATAGCCCCATGGTCATAGAATTTCCACTCGGGACTCGGGGCTCCCCCAAAAACACCATGGATTTGTGAAACTCCCAACAATGCCTTCGCTCGATCGCCCGCATTGCCAGATGAGGAAGAGCCTGTCACTCTGCTGCCGGTAGTTGGCTATGCTGAAACCAGTGAACACAAAACCCTAACATGCTCAACAGTCACACGAAAAACGTGATTCTTGGGCTGAGAGATTTGAGGCGGGGGCGATGCCAAGAGTGGAGGCTCCGGTCCGCCTCGTGGCGCAGCGCTGGGGGCGCTTTGCTTGGGTCTCTGTACCGGAGCCGGCGCCGGAGCGGGTGCTGGAGCAGGCGTCATCGAAGGGCTGGGCCCTGCACCGCCAGTCCCTGCCGAGTTACACGTTGTTGTCAAAACCCCTGGGGTTACCTGGGGGCCATGCAAGATTTGAGCGATGGGAGGGATAATTGTTTATTAGTATTTGAAGATTGGAGAGATGGCTTTTCACATCCTAGTAAGTGTACATACACGTAACCTTTGAAGGCTATAAAATCACGCCAGCTGTTCGGTTGTTCCCATTCGTGCGTAACCTGCTTACTGAATTCCTCTGACCTCTCGGCAGTTTTCATCCTTAGCGGGACCCCAGTATAGACCCCAACATACTAAAATCCTTATTACAAACACAAAAGGCATCAATAATTTTGGGAGAACCCCAAGATTCCCAGAGATGCACAACATACACACAAATATATATATATGTATATATATAATATATACATCTATATTCATATATATATATAACCCTATATAGCAATATACGCGTACATAGCCCTATATAACCCTATAGTATTGGGCACGGGCAAAAATTCCCTTTCCTCTCAAGCTCAAGCCTCCGCGATTGGCTTTCAGCGCTGACGAAGCAACGAACGGGGGCTCTGCAATCACTTTGGCCTAACAGGGGGCAGGGCGCCATGGGGCTTGATGAGTCCTATCTATACATATACATATATATA